GTGCAAATCGGGAAAAGAACACCCTCGAATGTCTTCAGTGACGAAGCTATATCGTTGAATCGAATTAAGTAATTAAAAGTTAGTTTAATTAATAATATCCCTTGAATGCATTAACGGTGGGGCCTGAACCTTCGTTGAACTTCGCTGATTAATTCTGCCATTCGGATCCGAATGTTAAATTTATTTTGTCTGACATTTTAGAAATTGTTTTGGGAAAATGTAGTTTATTTCAATTTGTATAATATGTCCTAACTTGTGTTGATATCAATATAATACTATTAAATTGGATTAATAGACCGATTAAATTCATTATTCGCATATTAAAACATAGGTAAAATAGGTCATTATTTTATAAAATTGATTTTCTTTGAAATTATATTATTGCAGAATCGGGAACTATAAATTAATAAAAATTATAGTATAAATGGTGTATATTTTTGATCTGATATTAACAATTCATGATATTCGAGTGTATAAAATATGTGCAAAGATCAAAAATAACAAATAAATTTTGCAGACAAAATTTAGATGATATGTATATTAGATAACGATTAGTACAATTACATTAAAAATATTTTTTCATTCACAGCCTCTGTACATTTAAGAAATATTTAACGATATATTAAAAATAGAAATCTACTATACTTTGAAAGTAAACCAGTTAAAAATTGAAATTCTTCTAAATGGAAACGCTGAGAAATAATTCAAAATAAGAGGATTAATTCTCTAGATATGATCACAGTTATTAGATATTTAATAATAATCGGATTAAACGATCGCGTTTATCGATTTATCCCTCGCGATGATTAATAACTTTTCACGAATATTCAAAGATTCAGTATCCGTTTTATTAACATTTATCGCATCCATATTCTTGATCTATGAGCGATTATCTTTGAATTTCCGGAGAGAGTCGAGCTGTCAAAACAAAAAATTCCTCGCAAAACAATGTTTTACGAATCAAAAAATAGAAACGATATATCATATAGACAACCGCATTTTTTCGACACGCGGATTAAATATTGCGGTTTGCTTTCTGGGATGCGTGACGTTAATCTAATTTCGCATGGACGTTCGCGCGAAAATAAACCTTCAATTGTATAGCCGGGCGTTGTACAGAAACGCGTATAAATATTGCGTCCTTTCAAAAGAATTGACGATTCATTGATTCGATTTTAACTGCAGCGCGCGGCGTTCAAAATTTCCATCGCACAATCACGCGATATTTTTTTCCCGAATTGCGCGAAATACGCGAAATATAATTCATCTCGCCCGCGAGAAGTGATCTTACTCTCGCGCACGGGGTTTCGTATTTACAATTTTAAATCCACTTACGAGAAAGTTACATTTTGTAGTTGCATTTCGTCTGCAACCCTCACCTTTTAACATGTTCCGCTCTTCTTCTCACAACCCACCCTAGTCTCTAACTTGCATTTGTTTTGCGTTCAGCTTTAAAGCATATCCGCTTCATTCCTGCCCTTCTCCGTCTTTCTCTCTTAACGTTTCCCATGTATTTATCTTCTACATTAATAATCTCGTACCTCTCTCGTTTGCGTTGCAGAATATGGACGTAGCCAAGGCCTCCGAGCGTCTTCTCAAGTTAGCGGTGAGTATACACATATATCTATGTATTCACTTGTAAATTTATAAGTGTGTACCGGGTGTGTCCGAAATACACCGTAGGTCGACGATTTGTAACTTTTTATCGCGAAGAAAAACGAATATCCTATGGAGCGATCAATTCTTGATCAACCAATTTCAGAATATCGATCTTAAATAATCGGAATTTTTTTTATCGGTATAATTTTAATTTTGAAACAAATATACCATTATAATATTGCATATTATTTCTTTAATCTAAATAACAATTAATATGAGGGTGTTGTGATTTATTCTTGATCAACCATGTTCGGGATATCAGTCTTAAAAAATCGGAATACGATAAAAAAATTGGGATTGTTTTATTAGTATGATATTAATTTTAAAACATAATGCGATTATTTTGCAGTTTTTTATTGCATATTATTTTCTAATATAACAATCATTATTAATTTAAAACTAAATTGATAAAATTCTTAAAATAAAATTAACGAACAATTATCAAAGCAAAAAATTAGCATAACATTTTTTCATGTCATATAAAATAGAAATCTATATATACATATAATAATAAAATAAAGATCTAAATTAATTTTATATTTATATCAAATTTTAGTATGATCGATTATTGTTTTACAATATTGAATTTTATGTAAAAAAATAGGGATGATTGATCACTGTCTATGAAACTCGAAAATATTAAGCATTTATTAATTAACATGGAAGCAATGGTTGCTCCATAAAATACTCAATATTATTAAACATTATTTTAGCGTAAATCTTTCTTCTAGCTCGATTCTCTAAGCTCGTCGTCACGTTGATATGAAGACGATCCTTTATACTTTATTTGCGAAACTGCGTCGATAGATACTTGCAATTTTTCGCGCTAGAGATTTCCTCTTTTTTCCTACGGCACACACCTTTTACGAGGAAAAGTCTCGAGGCAATATTTGCGAATTCAATCTCTCTCTCTTTCCGCAATAGAGAACGCAGTTTTCGCCTGAACTTTGCCACGACTCTGCGAGTTCATTCGACAGCCAGAAAACGCCAGGGACAGAGAAAACTCATATCGAGCTACGCGTGTCGTCGATAAATGCTGTGCTTAATACAACGCGTTGTATAAATCCGTTCGTTACAAGCCAGCTTTCTTGCATACGAATATTCGACAAGAAAATAATCCGTGTAAGACAAAAAATTTTGTTCGGATACGTCTATTATTTAGGGATCTTTAAGGGGATGCTGACCATGTCTGTTTTACCGACTTTGAGTTTAGGAACTTTTCTTTTTATTGGCTATACATATTGAAAAATCCGTCTCCACAATTAAAGTACTGATAATAATGAACGGGCGCTGTAATTTCGTATAAAAAGCAATAAAAGTTTAAAAATTATAAATTTTTTATCGGCCTCTTGCATCAGCTCATAACAATGCTTATTTAATACAAAAGCTCTGCATTTTATTTGTGCATAAAATATGGCGCTTCCAATAAAGATGACATGAAAGAATAATACAGAAGTATTAAAAATGAGATTAAAAGTCTGTATTAAAAAATTCGTGCCTGAATTAATTATAAAAAGTGAACCTAACCTAACTTAAAGTCGGTAAAACAGAATTACGGCATAAGGATATAATAATAAAAACAATATAATAATGACATTTTTAATATCCCGCGGATATTTTTACTCGTCAATTTATTCATCGACACTCTTTCTATCGGTCCTCGCATTTTTATGCGAAAGACTAGAGCGTGAGAGAGCCAGTTAACTTCAATATTCTCGGTTAGAACTCTTTGCTTTACGATAACTTGGATCTGTTGCATGTCGGAAAATAAACTAAGTTATCCACGGGAACATGAAATAGAAATGTTGTGTTTCTCTTCAAGAAAGAGCAAGTTTGAAAAAGATATATATATATATATATATATATAAATGGGGAGGGGATTCTGTAAGAGCTCCGGGCGCTCGCGGAAAGTACGCCGGAATCTATGAATTCCTGATTTAAGTTTCGTCGTGCATCGGCCGTATTCCTGTGTGACGCTTCCGGGTAAAATATGCACGCTCGACGATGGAAAAAGGTCGTTTGTCGCCAAGTCCGCAGGGAGATCGATACATACACAACGATATGTACCTACCTACGCGCCGAAGATGTTGTTTTGATACTTCCGATTCACCTGTTTTCCGTATCGCTAATAAAAACAGATATATTCGCTCTAGAGAGTGGAATATCGAGGATAAATCCTAAGTCTAAGAAAATACAATTTCCCCTTTCGTAATAATCGTATATATGCATTTATGAAATTTGCTTACACACTTTAAACGATAGCTCTTTCTCTCTCTGTTGAATTTATAAAGTCAATCTTTCTCTCTCGTCCCCCCGGTCCGTCATTTTATAATATCGAAAGAAATTTCCATCGAGAGACTATCTGAAATTAGCTTGACATTATGGAAGATTAATTCCTCTCGCTATTCAAACGCAATCTCTGTTTCTCTTTTTTTTCCTTTCGTATTTTAAACTCCGATATCTGCAGTCGAGAGAATGTACGATTTTGTTTTAGAACATATACCTAGTCGGCGCATCGGGAACATACGTACCTAACGCGAATAAAAAAAAAAGAGAGAGAAAAAACAACAGGAAGAAAAAAATGAACCGATATGCGCAATGCAAAGGTTCGTTCATGCGAACGCTATAGCGCTCATCGTGTCCTTTTATTCGTGTTCTCCTTGCAGCGCCGACACGCTCCGCTACTCTTCGACGTTTCAGGACTCTCCGGGTCCGAGTTATTTCGCGTCCCCGTTGCTCGTTATTCTCTCGTTAGCTCTCTCGGATGCCTCTCGGATCGGAACTAGCCGGTCGTGTATAGTGTATAGTGTTTCGAATGCTGGGCGAAGTCCAGTGAACCGAATTCAATTATATGAATTCGTCCCAAAGCGACTGTCCTCGATGTACAGATAGAGAGAGAGAGAGAGAACGCTCGCGCGAAAACGGACGGTATAGATGTCCGATTATTCGCGATTAAAATGGCAGACCGGCGGTCGTGCATGGCCGAGTTTTGTTATGGAAGTTTCGTATTAATTGAGCCGGCTGTACTGTTAATTATTGATCCGCTCGATTCGTGTTCGCCGACTCTCTTTCCGTTGAGACACGCGCGGATTCAGGATAACTGCGACGTGAAACAAATATAAGCTTGCTTATGGAACATTTCAATATATGCAAGTTGATTGGACAGAAGGGGATGCTTTCCGACTCTGTCTGTTTTATAGACACATTATTTTTCTTTAATTACAATCCTCAAAATAATTAGGGAATTAAAAAATTGGCTAAAATTAGGCAAACTTAGATAGGTATAAGTTTGTTTTAAGAAATGAGAATTGAAATTCTAAAGAAAAGTTTTAAAGCTTGAAATCTCTAGTTTCGGAAGGCAGGTAGCTGGTTTTTCATTTTTTTCCATTTTGGTATTTTTACATATAGAAAACGACGAACTTAACAAAATGGAAAATTTTCTTCTCGTTTTGTAGATGTATCGCATGCACAATTTCAAAAAAATTTTTGACTTTTTCGTGTTAAAGCCTGAAGTTTCCTCTGCAAAATCGTTTTTTGACATTTAAATTTCGATCTTTCTTTATCAAGTTATCGCAAATTAAAGAGAAAATGTCATTTTTACTTTGATTGTTCATAACTCCGTTAAACATTATCATATAGCAATTTTAAGAAAGAATTCTTAAAGTTGAATCTTTGCTTTATAGTATGATATAGTGGCTGAATCTTTTTTAACTCGTGAACTTTTTACAAGGTGAAAATAACAAAGAAATTCGCGAGTTGTCTCTTTTTTGTTTAAACTTTGAAAACAGTTACGTAAAGTGACTAAAAAAATTTTATCGACTGAAATTTTTGTGCTTCTTAGTATCCCAAACTTGGCAAAAAAATACAAACTTGCTGTAATAATTTTTTATAGTGATACGTATGTCAAAAATGATCGGTGTATATTATATGTAAAAAAAACTTGATTTCCTTTGCTAAAAAAAAGTAAAATCGTGGCAGAACAATTTTTTCTCCACTTTCTAACATAATCTTTTAACTGCCTCGACATAAAATTTAGAAAATCTAGTTGCATGTCATTTCCAAAATTACTGCTGACGTCAGCTTCATCCAAAGCGCATTACGTGTACGATTGGATTTGTTTTTTGGGAACATGCAAAAAATGATGGTGACCTCCTTTTATATTTTCGCTGACGAAAAATCGTTTCCAAATAACTTTAGAAATCTCTTATAAATAGGACAGTCTGTATAATCTAATTGCGTTTGTTTAATCCATCCTATTTAACTTAATCTCTATTCATCATTCATGAATATAAAAAATAGATTGACACGATATGAGAACTTAAGTACTAGATATCGAATATGATACTTGGAATAAATTTAAGCGCGAAGCGAAAAGAGATTCATTTCTGAAAACAGATTTCTCTTCAATCCCGGAACTCTTTTGAAACGGAGTAAAGCGATAAAATCGTCGGGCAATAAAAGCATCGGCGAGAAAAAAAAATCCTTTCGCTCTGGGAAAGAAAAAGAGATTTTTTTTCCCGCTAAAGCAAAGGTTGCTCATTCGCGAGACGGTAAATTGTTTGTTCTCGCGCGCGCGCGTGCATAGAAAAAATAATTGTTTACCAATTGTCATTCTCTCTCGATCTTTCGAGGTCTTCTTACTTTTTCGTTTGTACCGCAAATAGCCGTGAGGGATCACGTGGACTCTTCTCTGGAGGGTGACTCTGGTGTGACCGTCAAGGGTTAATTGCGGTTCTTATATACGAAGTCGGAACCAGCCTGGTTAGGAGGATGGCGGCGGCGTTCCGAAGAAACAGAACGGAACTGCAATGCTGGGACCGGACTTTAATCTCGTCGTAATGGGAAAACGCAATTTTCCCGCAGTCCAACGAGATCCTTCCTCTCTCTTTCTCGATCTCGCCTTTTACACCCTTCGCTCTTGCGTCAGTGCCTCATTCCGAAATCCCT